CTGTATGATATTGTTGCGGTTTTTCCAAAGACAGAAAAACTTTTTCATGTAAGTAACACATTAAGTAGAAGAAAATAATGTTTATTATTTTTATAAAGGAAGTCTGATGATGCCTCTTAGGTGATCTGTTTTGCCCTCTCTTGAAACTTTTAGGATTTTTCATTTGCAGTTCTGGGATTTCACAGGGTGGCATGTGTTGTTTTGTTTTGATTTGTTTTATTCATCATGCTAAACATTTGATGGGCTCAGATAGGAAGAGCTCATCAAGTTTTCTTCTGTTTCTTTATCTGTACTTCATTCATTCATTCATTCATTGGAAACTTCAGAAAGTAAATATTGGTCCATCTCTTTCTGGCTCTAAAATCACTTCAATGTCTGCCTTTCTTAGTATTTGCTGCTGCCTGGTAGGGAAGAAAGGTACAAGGTTCTGGGGTGGCATAAAATCTCCCACCTCTGTTTCATCTTTCCCCTCTCCATGCTCTGAGGTGCAGCCTATACACCAGCATGATCATGTCTGCTGTCCGTCTTCTAGAAATTCTTTAGTCAGCCATCTGGTGATACTACCCGCCTTCCTGATCTTAGAGCCGTTATAAATTTAATCCCTTTTGTATGTTTAAAATTGCCATTTCTGTGATTTTTCAAGAGAGAAGGTTATTTAACGGGTATGCTCATTTTTGTCAACTTGAGACAGAACACACTGGGCATTTTAAATGATTACATAAAAGGAAAAAAATCAATGGTAATACAGCTTTCAGGAATATGTTTTACATTGTAAAAGGAGTTATAGGTACTTTTAGAAAGTTCTGAATGTTGTCTTTATCTAGGTTCAAAAAAGTATCCACCTACATAAAGTATATCCATTAAAGGGATATTTCAGGTAAAAAAAGTACTGATCTTTGCTGTTTTAGTTTTACAGCATAGTTCATTTTTAAGCAGTCTGTTTGAAAATTATAGGAAGGTTTTGCCTAAGTTTATCCAGTAGATGGAGCTGTTGACTAAGGAAGCTGATGTGTGGTAAATTAGTTTTCAAGACGTACTATCAATTCTTAGTTGTTTATATTATTACAGAGAAACAGCACAACTTATCTATGAGTAGCTCTTCTCATAAAATGTTCAATTAGAGTAATTTTCATTTTCGTTTCAGAAAAAGGGGTGAGTAGAAGCAAGTGGTTCTTAGTCATCAAAGAACCCTGTGGAACTTTTTAAAATCAGGCTGTTCAGCCCTCACCACTGGAGATTCTGATCCAGTAGGTTTGGGATCAATTCTGGGTATTTGTTTGTTTCCAGTTCCACAGGAGATTCCGATTCAGTGATGGAACCATGGTGTATAATATAAGGAGGACCTTGGGCATTTCCAAATTTGTTAAGCAGTAACTTAGTTTGGTTATTAAATGACAACTCAGTTATGCTGTACACTAAAAGTTGGTAACACACCCAATTTTTGTTGNGCCAGCAAGGAGAAGCCACCCAGCTCTTGAGTCGCAGGGTTGGGACAGTTGTCTGGTGGATTCCCTGTGACGCGCGCTCTGATGGGCCCCAGCTACCTGTTATAAAAGGCACAAACCCATACAGTACCCAAGGTTATGGCACTCTTTATCGTTCCTCTCCACATACTGTTCCTCTCCAGAGGCAGCGATGTCTGACTCTAGAAGTTTGCCAAGGCTTTTTGTCAGTCCAGTTTCTGTATAAATGGCACCCTCTGGAGATAGGCAGAGCGGCGGCTCTGTGAATTGCTATTAAACTTACAACTTTTATACCTTTCTCTTTACCGTAATGATCCAGGAAGGCTATTTTCTAGAGGTTTGCCTAAGTAAGCCCACATACGCTACTGTGCGCTTGGCTGAGAGAAGGCAGAAGCATGCGATGCTGTCCATGGAATAGACAGCAGTGCACATAATTCCTCGTGTCCGCAGCAGTGGTAAGCTCCCCAGGAGCTGTTTCGGTGAGGGCTTTCGTTTGGTTTCTTATGAGCGTGCCCTACTGTTCAACCTAGACCGTGAGCTTCTAGAGAGCACCAACTGTGTGTGGTCCTTTTTTAATTAGCCCAGTATTTGCCTAGAATGGATCCTCCGTAAAATTTCTCAGTCGAATGAGTGTATGTCTAACTTTGCATATCAAAGTACAGCTTGGCGAACCTGGCCAGATCCTGCTTATTGTTAGCTGTTAGCTGGTTGTCGGCATTCGCAGGAAGTGTATGCAGTGAGGGAAGTGGGGCACTGGGGTGGCATAGGAGGAGGATGGCACTGGAGGCAGCAGTGTCTGTCCCGTTCCC